GGGGGGGGGGGGCCGGGGGGGGTGTGGGCGGGGCGAGGCGCCGCCGGAGCGGGCGAGGAGGGACCGGACCCGCGTCGGGCCCCGCTGCCCCCGCTCCCCCGCGAACCCGGGGCTGCAGCCCCCGGCCCAGCGCCGGCCGCTGCCCCGCGCCCCAAACCCCACCCTTTGCTTGGGTTTTCACCTTGTTTCGTTCTTTAAGCACTGCCCGCCCCGGCTGCAGCACCCCCGGAGGGAGGGGTGGCATTTCTGGGGGGCCTGGTGCCATAAATGCAGGAGGGGGGACGGGGGACCCCTCCTGCGGGACCTGCCGCGGCGGGGGGCTCGCCCGCACCCAAAGCTGGGGCTCAGGGCTGTGCCGCCAGGCGCCGCTGATCCTCGGCATTGTTGCCCGGCTGCTGCGGGGACACGGCAGGGACGCCGCGGGGACACGCGGGGACACGCGGGGACACGCTGCCCCGTCCTGCAGCTCTGCCCCTCCGCCTCCCCCGCAGAGGGGGAGAGGGGCCGAGGCGCAGTCCCCTGCCACCGCCGCTCCCGCCTCCCCGCGTGCCGGCTCCAGCCTCGCACATGGTCGGGGCCGCACGTCCCCCCTCCAGCAGCGCCCGTGTGACGGGGACAGCCCCCCCCGCCGCTCGAAGCCGGTGACATGGGTGTTTCATGTCGGGGGCCGGGGTAGGACGGAGGGGACCCGCGTTTGCCAGATGAACCCGTCCCTTGGCTGCGCCCAGGCTGATCTCCGCAGGGGTTAATCGCCGGATTTGCTTGGTTTTCCTTGGCTGGGCTCCATGGAGGCCGGCTCCTGGCAGCGGCAGCGCAGGCGGGGGGCAGGTTGCGAACACCCCCCCGGCAGCGTAAGGACACCCCGGTAAGGGCGCGGTGACCGTGGATCGGGTATAAATGCGATGCCGCCCTTCGCACAGAGCCTACAGAAAAATATGGGGGTTTAGTATAGGTATATGCATATACATAGGTTGGATATTAGGACAAATTTCTTCACGGAAAGGGCAGTCAGGCCCTGGCCCAGGCTGCCCAGGGCAGGGGCTGAGTCCCCACCGCTGGAGGGATTTAAAAGCCGGGTGGATGTGGTGCTTAGGGACATGGTTTAGTGCTGGGCTTGGCGGTGCTGGGTTAACGTTGGACTTGGTGATCTTAGAGGTCTTCTCCAACCTAAACGATCCTGTGATGTGTATGTATATGATGTATACATTTATATGCATACCTGCCCTGACTCCACTCGATGAGGGGCACGGCCACCCTGCAGTTCTCTCTGGCCGCCTTGTCCTCAGCACCAGGGGGGTCTCATCCTGCCCAGACTGCAGGATCAGGGCACCCATGACCCCAGTGCAGGATCAGGCCCCACGCTCCCTCCGAGCAGGATCAGGGATCCACACCCTGGTGCAGGATCAGGAATGCTGGATCAGGCCCCCCACAGCCCACTCCTCCCCAGTGCAGGATCAGGCCCCCACATCCCCTGGAGCGGGATCAGGGACCCACATCCTGGTGCAGGATTAGGTCCCCATGCCCCTGGTGCAGGATCAGGCCCCAGGCTGCCAGTCTCCTCTTGCCATCTCTTGGCTAGCGGGGGAACATCAGCAGCACCCGGGCAGGATTGGGCCAGCTCTGCCTGGGGGAGACCCTCCTCCGGGTTTGGGGCTTAGGGGAATCACCGTGGGCTGAAGGGAACAGGGAGAAACACCCCCCGTAACCCCCCCACCTCTGGGGGCATCTCTGTGCCCCTCACCCTAGCGCCAGGGCTGCTGGGGGGGCCTCGATCCCCATCCAAACCGGGCACATGCGGCACCGCATGGCCCGAGCCGGGTGTGAAAATGCTTCTCCCGCCCCAGAGCATCCCCGGCCTCACCCTGCCCTGGGTGACGAGGAACGGGGCTGCAGGTGCTTTTCCCAGGAGCTGTGCGAGGCGGTGAGGTTTTGGTGGGTGCCGTTCCCAGGGGGGTCACAAGCAGGAGATGGAGGCTGGGCGCAAAGCACGCGGAAAGGCTTTTAATCTCCGGCTCCCTGGGGCCCCAGTCCACAGGGCGGCTCTGGCCGTGCCCCCGCGGAGGCAGGCATCGTGCCACTGGCACCGATGGCGCAATTGCGAGGGCACCCAAGGGTGCGTGGGATGGTGGCAGCCGGCAGAGGAGCAGGCGGGGAGGCGGTGCAGTGCCGGGAGGGTGGTGGCAAGGGCTGCGGCGGGGGCTCAGAGCCGGGCGGCCGGCTGGTCGTAGGCGTGGTGGGTGTTGTACCGCCGCACCGTCACCGCCTCTGGCTTGCTGAAGGGGCTGCTGCCCCCCTAGGTG